CACACACACACACACACACACACATTCACAAAAAAAAGGTTTTCTTGATGCTCAATAATAAAATTTATTCACAATAAAAGATACATAAGTGAAAAAAATATTTTAATAATGAAAATTGATTAAACCTATTGATATTTCAGCCATTTCCAGAGAATAAAAATAAAAATAAATCAAAAAGAGAACAATTCACGAGAAGACAAATCTCCAATACAACTAGGAGAAATACAGACATTTCTACGCAGAAAAAGAATTGGCAATTAGCTTAACATGAAAAGTTTGCACAGAACGGATAAGAAAATCCAATTTAACAGTTGCATTCGCATTCGCAAAATTGGTTCTTAGCTGGGCAGAATGAAAAATTGCCGCCACCATGACCTCCGTCGCCGCCGCCTCCACCATCTGGAAAAAATTTCAAATCGGAAATCAATTTATTTGGTTAATTTTGCAAATTTCTTCACATCAAGTCCATTTGTTGATTTTCGAATGGATTCATTCCTAATCTGACTGACTACACTGCACACAGTTACTCTCTTTCCCACCGTTACGCTTTGATCGACGATTCTGTAGATCTAGTTTTGCGGGAGCTGATTCTTCAGAGCAAAAAAGACAAATCTTGTGTCGAGTTGGCACTGCCAATGAACCCTCCTCAATAGACTCGAGAATGATTCCATTAATCCAAGTATACCAATCAAGCACAGAAATATTCACAAATTATCGTTGTTTAATTCGATACTTACCGCTGCCAGGACTGCCACCTCCATGGCCACCTCCACCTGAAAGAGATCACAAGTCAGTTTATTCGATTTATTTGGCAAAACAACTCTTTTGTCGAGTTGGCACTGCCAATGAACCCTCTTCAATAGACTCGAGAATGATTCCATTAATCCAAGTGTACCAATCAAGCACAGAAATATTCACAAATTATCGTTGTTTAATTCGATACTTACCGCTGCCAGGACTGCCACCTCCATGGCCACCTCCACCTGAAAGAGATCACAAGTCAGTTTATTCGATTTATTTGGCAAAACAACTCTTTTGTCGAGTTGGCACTGCCAATGAACCCTCCTCAATAGACTCGAGAATGATTCCATTAATCCAAGTATACCAATCAAACACAGAAATATTCACAAATTATCGTTGTTTAATTCGATACTTACCGCTGCCAGGACTGCCGCCACTATGGCCACCTCCACCACCTGGAACAGATTTCAAATCACAAATCAGTTCATTTGATTTATTCGAATTATCATACAGAGCACGCTAAAAAATATTTTTATCAGCTTGAATAAAAATATCGGATATTTCTATGCGATATTTGTGATGCGTTCTTCAGGTGACACATTACTGCTGAGTTGTTTTGTCTGTGCGTGTCTGTTCGTGTGCAAAACGATCAACATATTCAGTTCAATGCGTGCGCTAATACACGTAGACTATTTTTGCGAAGACTTCAATTCAATATTTCTTGTCATTCAAATGAAAATCGCCGTAGACCACGAGTAAAACATACTCTACTTTATCAAAATATAAGTCTGAGAGTAGAGTATGACGGCTTTGCTGTTTGTACCAGTGCCGAGTTAGCCATATGGCAAATGAGGCAGTTGCCTCGGGCACCACGTTCTTTAGACCACAAGCATGGGATTTTTTTTTTAATAATCTGAAAAAGAAAACACGCAGCCAAAAATGGGCCCAAAAATGT